TTCAAATTATCAAGTCTTCCATTGCTAAAAATCATGTTTTTGAAACTAGTTTTTGAATAAAAACCCTACAAATAATATCTAATCGAAGATCAACATGAGCCGGAACCCCAAATGAGATAACCCAAATCCTCAATCTCTGATTCCCAGATTATGATCAAAACCAACTATTTTCTTGCCCTTAGATACGAATTCCAAGTTAATCCACATTTGAAATTATTATCGATATTTCCAAGAAGTTCTCCCCCACTTGGAATCAGCCCCTCCCTAACGGCTTCAAGACTTTTACTATACATTCACAATCCATAGCGTCCAGACCCTAAGCTTTCTAGCTTGATCACCATCCATATCAACAAACTTCCCATAAAAACTTCTCAACCATAATACTAAAACCCGCACAAAAGTGCATCCACACCCTGAAGTAGATTGATAACTCAACAATAGCTCCACCCCCTACTAATGGTAGCGATCGATTCAATGATCCAACCCCACCTTCAATTGACAATCAAACTGAGCTCTATTTCGTTGTCCCAGAAGGGACAACCGGCTACAACGAGATCTTGTCTAAAAAGCTTCTAACACAAGGACTACATGCATAACCCTGAGAGCAAGAATCTAACAACAACTCACCTTGCACCCGCTTCAAATCAATTCTCAATCTTCTCCACCATAAAAGATCTCAACAGTCTCGGACACCATACATCTAACGAACTTACACTACAACTTCCTTTGGCACATCGCGCAAAAACCATCAAAATCAATCTAGCTGCTGATCCTTCAAGCATAACGCTCAGTCCTCCCCCTCTCAGGTCTTGCTCCCTCATTAGACGACGTCTTCCACGTCGAAGCCTAAAACCAGTTCATCCAGATACTCTTTAACACATCTCTCGGGATGCAAAATGTCATATGACAATTCTAGAATAATAACCAGCAATCGCAAGGAAATCCTGATCCCTATATGGAGATGTTAGAAGCTTTCCCATCATTACAACTTCCAAACCTTTACGAACGATCCTCTTACTCTTATGATTTTCAAAGCACCCTGAAAGCCAAAACCCTGGCCCATTAAAACGTACAGATGCTAACATAATAGTTCTAACAAGCTAACTATCCGTATGACTATCCATTCAAGATTAAACCGAGGATCAAAATTTATACATGCGATTTCTTGTGTTTCAACCTTGACCTCCTACCAGACGGTGGGTATCTGGGCTTGCACTCCCTCCACTACCCATGAAGGACAGTCAGGTTTGAGATGACCTGGGCGGTGATAGTGAAACACATCCGATCCTTCTTGCAGTCGCGAACGACATGCCCTTTCTCTCCACACTTGTAGCATTTGAACTTGTGACAAGCAAACCTGTGGGTTGCACAACACTTCCCGCATATATCAAAGCCCCCCTTGATTTCCAGTACTCGGGTTAACAGCCTCGAACTCTTCGTCTATCGCTGAATGAGCCCTATTTCTCTTTCCGAGTCGCGTGTCCACATCAAGATCTCCACCAGTAATCACCACAGCAGTCCCTCTCACAGTCTGCAAGGCTATAGTTCGCTCCTCGAACTTGGCAGTTAGCCTACCAGTGATCCGATCCATGATGTCAGGCAACTCTTCCTGCAATATCCATGAAACCTCAGTGACAATCATCCTCCGTATGTGATCATCAGTTAACCCCCGGCGTATCCTCGCCACCAGATCCAGATCCTAAACCACATCCCCTCATGAACACCATACTGAAAATGAACCAAAATATATCAAAAAGGCCACAATTCATACCATTTCAACCAAAACGGAGAGACTAAACCCTCGGGGGTTATGACTTCTTTGCTACGCTTACACGTCCTGTGCTTTTAGTAGTATGAGCCCGTACTACCTTCCACACCTACCCATATTTGTCTCAATGGATCATCACAAACTACCTGAAAACAATCCCAAAACTAGGATACACATACATCCTATCCTCACTCTCTCGAGAGTGGCTAAACATTCCTTAGTTGGCCTGCTACACACACTCACCCAATATAACACTCCCAACACTCGCTAAATAGCACACCATGAGTACCACACACTCCCTAGGATATCTTAGGATCCCCACCTTACCCTGCTATCAGCTGCCGAAAGACCCCCATTGGTGCCCGGTTAACCACTTCATGAATACAATCACATGCAACATAACTCAAATAATCTTAAATTAAAAGATTCAACCCTACAACGGTTGAACTCAAACAAGAGATGCATAATAGGACCAAATCCTTCACTCTAAGATTATTTAACCCATGCAGCATGCAACTTAACATATTTAGTTAGTAGTTAATTCACACCCGAAAGAGTCCTACAAGCAACAAGCAAGCAACATTAGAGCAAAAAAAACTCTACAAGCATAAGGCATCATAATTCAGGCAATTCTATCATTCAATTCCTAAAGATCCCTACCCTACAACTAGCATGCAGTTCTATCATAAGCAAATAACAGTGTGGGTAACTTGGGGTATACTTTCTTTCTCTGGTTGATCGTACACATCTCGTCCTTCCTTGGTTACTTTTGAAAACAAATTGAAAACTTTTGCAGATCCTTAGTTTGAGTCTGAATTCACATGGATGTTCATCTAATTCTCTCAAACCAGGGCTCTGATACCAACTTCTAACAACCCAAAAATCAGAGTAAAATTTTCATTTTTTCAAAAACAATCCAACTACCATAATTGTTTATAAAACATTGTTTTCCAAGAATAATAGTCACAATCAGAGTATCCCAAAATCCAAAATCATAAAACCAAGAGGATGTGCACGACCATGTCTTTGCTTCCCTACGATCTTCTGGAGTACCTGAAATAATAAAATGAAACTGTAAGCCAACGCTTAGTGAGTACCTCTAAAGTACCACACACAACATATAACATATATAATCATGCATGCTAGGTCCAATCAGTCATCAGACTGGAATACCTTCGGGTCTACAGCCGTTGGGCTGGATTACCCCCGGCCCAATTAATCATCGGACTAGAATACCTTCAGGTCCACAGCCATCAGGTTGGGTTACCCCCAACCCAATCAGTCATCGAACTAGAATGCCACTATATAACGGGTCAAATCAGACATTGGACTGGTATACCCTCGAGTCCACAGCCATCGGGCTGGATTACCCCTAGTCTATTGGCTAACGCACATAGCAGTAAAGCCTCAGCCTAAAATAGTACTATGTCGACATATGCAACAAATAAACATATAAACAGGCAACATGCAACATGCAGATCTATAGATCACTACTGCATAGCAACATTCCATATACCAGGATACAGATCTAACAGATCACTACAACATAACAACATCCTATATACCAAGATATAGATCAACAAATCACTACAACATAACACATCCTATATACCAGCATACATAACCTAGTGGGTCGGTATTGGTGCCTTCGACCCAAAAGTACAGTAAGGAAAAACTCACCTCTCAGTCTGAAAAGATATCTGGATAAAGCACCGTTCTGTATACCAACTCTACAGGTCACCTCCAAGTGAAGCTTGATGGCATGGTACTTCTGGATCCAAAGTGCTTTACTCTTCTAAGATGGTCTCTTCTTTTTCTCCTTCCTTTAAAGACACCATAAAGCGCTCTTTTAAAATCAAAATGCACATACAATGAAATAGGGTTTCCTTGGGACGAAAATGGGGATGGAGGCTGATGAATGAAGGGGTCTCAAAGAGTTAAGGATGTTTAAATAGGGTCCAAACCCTAAAATTAGGGTTTGAGTCTCTTCCACGTACGCCGAACGTACGTGATCAAATCTGGATTTTCATTTAAATGACATTCATGACCAATTTACAAACAATTCTCATACCAATGGTCAAAATGTAAATACCTAGAATTCGAGGTAATACTTATGAAAACAGGATCTACTGAAGCGGTTTATTGAGAACATACCATAAATGACTTCTTAAACACAATTTCAAAAGATGGCCGAAAAAATCATTGATGTGTAAAAAAACTTATGTTACTTGCTATATCCGGCCATGATGATATACATAATTTTAAATTCAATTCAAGAATAAATTGGATAAAAAAATGATTAAATTGCAAAATGGTCCTTGTATATAGCTTAAAGTTACTACTTTTGTCCAAAAAGTTTTTGACTAGCACCATCAATCCAAAACTTTGATTTTGTTGGGAGTTTGGTCCAAAGTGTTTTCAAAATATTTAAAATGACGAATATGCCCTTGATATTTACTTTTTCTATTTTATATTACATAATTAAAAAACAAAAACAAAACTCTTTAAGTGTTTATCCCCCACCACTCCCCCCATTCTCTACCATTATTTGAACCTACAAACAATATGTCTGTCATCATCGGAGCTCCGACTCTGAGAAATCAACGACTCGCAAGAAAAAGAGAGAGACGAAGCGAGGACCACCACTAGTCATCGTTGCCACCATCTGATGGTCTCAAACATAATTTTTCCATATCTCTTCCTGTTTCATACACATACATACAATAATGAACAAGATTAAGAATTGAACCAACAGATTCAACACAAAACACACACATACACATGTTAAATACAAACAGACATAAAACCCAAAAACCGATTCAAAGAAATATCAAATTACACACAAATCCCAAGTTTTCCACATTTAATCTTTTGTACATCTCAGAACTAACACATAAAATTCATAAATCAAAGGAAAGAAATACCAAAAATATAAAATGGTAAATAACAAATCTTGATTTTTCTTAAACAGACGAAGATCAGGCCTACCACACAAAACCCAAATGTAAAAAGGTCTCCAGAAATCAACATGTCCACTATCGGAGTTTTACAGAGGCAAAGTCGTTGCAAACTCGAGTCACAGACGGAATTCGAAGTTCTACACTTACATCGACATCCGTTCTTGATTCACTCCTTCTCCGGCAAGCCACATGCGTTTGTAGAAACCCAAGCGTTGCCATCTTCATCGATGGTGGTCTGGCAATTTCCGACGGCAGTGGTCCGATAATCTCGAATGTATTTTGTTAAAGAGGGATATGGATGGACGGGTAATTAGGGTAGGTTTTTATTTTTTTTAGTTAGATAAATAGTAAAATAAATGGAAAAAGATAAAAGGTATAATTGTTATTTTAAGTATTTTTAAAAAAAACTTTGGATCAAAATTGCGATAAAAGTTCTATATTTGGTCAATAGTGTTTAACTTTTTGGACCGAATTTGATAATTTCGAAAAATCACAGATATTTTTACAATCTTATAAAAAAAAATTAATGACAAAAAAAAAAAAAAAAAAAAAAGTTGATTACCGTCGTTAACCCGTAAACAAATAAATCACGATCAAAAACGTATATGAAACGCGTCCTCACAATAATTAACATATATCGTCAACCCACACAAACACATTTAAGACACCGCCCGAATTTCTCTGTCACACACAAACACACACTAAACCCCCTGTCTCTCTCTGGATCTCACCGATTCAACCAACCCCAACTCTCCCACCTGTTTCTCCCATCTACCTTTTTTCTCAGCAGAAAATCCAGCTAAAAAGTGGCAGGGAAATCCGGCGAAGCAACGACAAGATACTCATCGATATGTGGCTGCGTCAACTTCAGATCTGATCGTTTTTCTACCGAAGTCTACAGATCCATTCGTCCACTTTTCCGATCACCTGTACCGGTTTTCTGTTGCAGATCATAAACGGTAAGGCCACCGAATCTGATTTAGTCTCAACCGATCTCAGTTGGCATTTTGATAGGTTTGAACTTTTAGTAAACTTTTGTAAAGTTAGTGAACCAACTGCATTTGTGATTTATTATTTGAATTTGATTTCGCTATTAATAACAATTAATGATTGTGCTTAATATTTTTACCGATGATTAATGAAGTGTGTTCATTTTTCATTGTTTGGTTTTATGAGAAGCTAATCAATTATAGTCATGTGTGCTTTAACTCCAATTTTTTTGAAATTTAGTTGTGATTTTTTTTAAAGCCATGAATCTAGAACACAGAACACTTTTAGCGTCTAATTTGTGTGCTGTTGATTTTTCAACTAATGAGATCTGATTCTGTGTGGATGATTTAATGCACTTCGTTTATGATTCCATAGATCTGATTTTGCTTTCTAGGGTTTTTGCTGAAGAAGGATTGCAGCAATGGCGCCGACAACCTTGCGGAAGGCTATTGGAGCGGTGAAGGATCAAACAAGCATTGGAATCGCAAAAGTAGCTAGCAACATGGCACCGGAGCTAGAAGTCGCTATAGTAAAAGCCACCAGTCACGACGACGATCCCGCCGGCGAGAAATACATACGAGAAATCCTCCAGCTCACATCGTACTCACGAGGCTACGTCAGCGCTTGCGTCCACGCTGTTTCCAAAAGATTAAGCAAGACTCGTGATTGGATCGTCGCCCTAAAATGTTTAGTCCTCATCCACCGACTCTTAAACGACGGCGACTCAGTTTTCCAGCAGGAAATCATGTACGCTACTAGAAGAGGAACCAGATTGCTAAACATGTCAGACTTCCGTGATGAAGCACACTCCAATTCATGGGATCACTCCACTTTCGTTAGAACTTACGGGTTTTACCTTGATCAGAGACTCGATTTGATTGCATATGAAAGGAAGCAAACCGGTGGCAGCAATGGCAGTGGCAATGGAGATTCCGTGAGGTCCAGGGAAGATCAATGGAGATCTCCACCAAATCGCGGATACGATTATGATGATGAACCAGGGTATGGAAATATAAGAAAATCAAGATCTTCAGGAGATGTTAGAGAAGGATCTGGATCATCTCACGACAAGAAAGATACAAATACAACCCCTTTGAGAGATATGAAACCTGAAAGAATCTTTGGGAAAATGGGACATTTACAAAGGCTATTAGACAGGGTATTATCCTGTAGACCTACTGGTCTAGCAAGAAACAGTAGAATGGTTTTAGTTGCCTTATACCCAATTGTTCAAGAAAGCTTCAAACTTTATGCTGATATATGTGAAGTTTTAGCCATTTTACTCGATCGATTCTTTGATATGGAACATCAAGATTGTGTGAAAGCATTCGATGCTTACGCAACTGCTGCAAAACAGATTGATGAACTTGTAGGGTTTTATAATTGGTGCAAAGATATGGGAATTGCAAGATCATCAGAGTATCCAGAAGTTCAGAAAATCACAGGAAAATTACTAGAAACTTTAGAAGAATTTGTAAGAGACAGAGCAAAAGCTACAAAAAGTCCCGAAAAAAAACCCGAAGCTATCGAACAAGTAAAAGAAGAACCCGTTCCTGACATGAACGAAATCAAAGCTTTACCGGCACCGGAGATTCATCCTCCACCACCACCGCCACCGGAGGTGGCGGCTCCACCACCAAAACCGCAACACACCGGCGACTTAGTCGACTTACGGGAGGAATCGGTGACAGCCGATGACCAAGGAAATAGATTCGCGTTGGCTTTGTTCGCCGGTCCGGCGAAAGGTGGCGGCAACGGAAACTGGGAGGCTTTTGGCGGCGGCGGCGAGGCGGAGGTGACGTCGGCGTGGCAGAATCCGGCGGCGGAGGCCGGAAAAGCTGATTGGGAGCTTGCGTTGGTGGAAACCGCTAGTAATTTGGAGAAACAGAAGGCGGCAATGGGCGGTGGGCTTGACCCGTTGTTGTTGAACGGAATGTATGACCAGGGAATAGTGAGGCAACACGTGAGCACCACCAGTTTGAGTGGCGGCAGTGCAAGTAGTGTGGCTTTACCGGGGAAATCGTCTGGTGGCACACCGGTGTTGGCCCTCCCGGCTCCTGACGGGTCGGTTCAACCCGTGGGTGGTGACCCGTTTGCTGCTTCGTTAAGTGTCCCACCACCTGCTTATGTCCAAATGGCGGATATTGAAAAGAAACAACACTTGCTTGTTCAAGAGCAGATGGTTTGGAATCAATATGCGAGAGATGGAATGCAAGGTCAAGTTAGTTTGGCTAAAATCAATAATGGTGGATATGTTGCACCGGGTCAACCACCCATGATGCCTTATGGAGCTCCACCTGTAAACGGATCCGGGTACTACTATCCTACTTACTAAAATTCTAAATACATTTTTTTTTTTAAAATTCTTATTATGTGTTACATATATTGTGCTGTTTTTTATGTTTCCACTCTGAGATTTTTTTTTGTTGGCATTTTTGTTGTTATACTATGTTTTTGTTAGAACACATGAGTAGCTAATTCGATTATGTAATTATTTGCTACTACTAAGTACCAAGTACTCAATCGATCTTTGTGCTATTTTGTGGCTTCTTTTTTCATAAGTGATGGATTGATGCCCATTTGGAAGTAGCTTTATTCTGTTTGGGTCCATTGATATTTGGTATTGCTTTATGCTTTTAGTTGGAAAGAGAAAGCATAAATGCTTGTTTCCTTAATGCCTAAGTATTCCTTCCTTTTCGTAGAATTGATCAAAAGTTGTGTTACCACTTACCACTTAGATTAATCAATTATGTTGTTAGCCAAATTTTAGGTTAATTAAAGTAATGGTGAAACTCCTAATTATTAGAAGCTAATTATACGGATTGAAAATGTTGATAAGAATATATTCAAAGAAAAGAAAAAGGAATGAAGAGTAATAAATAATAATAATAGTATAGAGAAAGAGAAAAGTGGCAGTCAAACTTTGACCACACGGTTCAACCAAAGAATGAAATCTCAGTTTCTAGAATAAATTAAGCAGATGGTTCATGTGGTCCCTAAAAAGTAAAAACATGCATATGTAGAATGACTTGATGGTTGATGCATCCACGCTGTTAGAAAGAGAGTTGACGAATATCAAAGAATTTTGGGATATTCTAAAAATCTGTAATTTTTATGGTGTTAAGATAAATGAGTTGTTGGAGTCTGTTAAAAATCCACCAGGAGACAAACAAGAAAACTTGCTTTGTTCTATGTTCTATGAGACGAGGAATTTGTAGAAATGCATGCGTGAAAAAGCGATCTTATGCAAAACCAAAAACAAAAACATCAACCGATATTGTCATTTGAAGTTACATAACCATAACACAATAGTAAACCATAAAATGAACAATATCTTTGGAAGTATCACATACTTCAGGAACCTCTAATTCTTCAATAACACATTTAGACAAGTATCTTAGCCCATGTTAATCAACAAACTTAGACACAAACACACACACACACACACAAAAAGTAATTCTTCAATAACACATTTAGACAAGTATCTTAGCCCATGTTAATCAACAAACTTAGACACAAACACACACACACACACAAAAAGTGAGGAGAGAAATGAAAAAGGAAAGAAAAAGAAATTTGTCTTTTGTATTCTCGAGTTGGAGAGAAGTGGAAAGAAAATAAAATATTTTGTTCTTTCTTTCCAAATATTTCCAAATCGGTATGAAAGTTAGAAGAGAAAATAATATTTCCATTTCTTTCATTTAATGAAACTCGGGAACATTAATTTTTTTAATTTTTTATCACATCTATTTTTTTCTCTCGTTAAGTTGAACTCATGAACGGGATGCAGACAAATCTCTAGAAAAGTCTCATTATTTAGAGAAATTAACGATTAAGTCCCAATTTTTTTTAGTAGAAAAGCCTAAGAAACCGATAAATTTCTTTAGTTTATTCCTTTTGACATGTTCAACAGCAAGTCATGCATCAAATTGTTATTTTTTTCCAAAATAATGGGACATTTCTACATATTTCTCAAAAATTATATATAATGTATAAACATATTTTTATATATATTTTACATATTTATGTATCATTTAAAAAAGTTTTTTAAGCTTTTTTATATAAATTTTTTAACATTTTTTTATGTATTTTAAATGTATAAACGTTTTTTTTAGATTTTATATGAATTTTTAAGTATTTTTACATACTTTTATTTAGACAAAATTACAAAAATGGTCCATGTGGTTTGCCAAAAGTCACAAAGTCAGTCTCTGCTAATTTTTTTTTGATGCAAATGGTCCCTGTGGTTTGCCAAAAGTCAAAAAGTCAGTCTCTGTTAATTTTTTTTTGATGCAAATGGTCCTTGTGGTTTGCAAAACTTGCAAGGATGGCCCTTTTTACTAACTCCGTTAGTATTCAGCCGTCAGGGACTGAATTCGTAAGGGCATTTTTGTCTTTTCAAATATAAAGGGACTGAATTCGTGACATTTTGTAAACCACAGGGACCATTTTTGTAATTTGTCTAAAAAATAATATAAACTAGGGAGAGGATTCGAACTTGAGACCTCCTCCCCCTCCCCCTAATCACCCTAAACCTCTATGATACGTAAAAATACATTTTGTTTTATTAATAACGTATTATACGAAAACATATTTTTAAATACATAAAAAATTATTTTACATAAAATAAATACGTAAAAAAACATATAAACTAATTGTAAAAATTTATTTTTTCTACAATACGTAAAAGTACATTTTGTTTTATTAAAAAAAGGTTTTATGTAAAACAAATTGTAATTTATTTTTTCTACAATACGTAAAAGTACATTTTGTTTTCTAGCATTTTTATTATTTTTAGACGAATTACAAAAATGGTTCCTGTGGTTTATCAAATATCACGAATTCAGTCTCTTTATATTTGAAAAGACGAAAATGCCCTTACAAATTCAGTTCCTAACGGTAAAATAGTAACGGAGTTAGTGAAAAGGGTCATTTGTGCAAGTTTTACAAACCACAAGGACCATTTGCATAAAAAAAATTAATAGGGGCTGACTTTGTGACTTTCGGTAAACCACAGGGACCATTTTTGTAATTTTGTCTTTTATTTATTATGATATATTTTTTCCGTATTTATGTGTTTTAAATTTTTTTTTTATATAGTTTTTTTACACATTTTTATATATTTTAAATGTGTAAACGTATTTTTTTACATATTTATATGTATTTTTTTAAGTATTTTTATGTATTTTGGTATATTGTTTTTACGTTTTTATATATTTTTTACTTCAAATTTCATTGTAAGATAACTATTAGACTTTGTACATGAAGAAAAAAAAGCAGTAAATTATTTCAAAACAAACATTTTTCAAAGACAACCCTTAGCAATCAACGTCATTTTTATGGTAAAATCTTTCATTCTTTTCTTAAATTCAATTTGTAGATGAATAAAGTTTACGAATATCATTATTGCTAAAGATCATCTTTGAAAAATGTTTATTTTTTTGAAGTACACTGCTTTTTTTTTTTAATTATAAGGTTTAATAGTTAGTTTACAGCGAAGTTTGAAATAAAAAAAATACATAAATACGTAAAACAAATATACATAAATACATAAAAATATATAAAAAATACTTTCAAAATACATTTAAACACGTAAAAATACATTTATATATTTAGAATACATAAAAATATGTAAAAAAAACTATATGAAAAACTTTAAAAAAATACATAAATACTGAAAATATACCTTAATACATAAAAATACGTAAAAATACTTAAGTATTCATATAAAAACGTAAAAAAATATCTTTATACATTTAAAATATATTAAAAAACGTAAAAAAACAATGTAAAAAATAAAAACTTAAAAATACATAAATATATTAAAAATATATAAAATTAAATAAAAGTATTTAAAAATATATAAAAATATGTTTATATATTATATACAAATTTTGTGGAAATATATAAGAAAGTCTCATTATTTTGGAAAAATTAATGATTTGATCATATGATATGCTAATCAGATTAAAAGGTGGCTAAAGTAAATAAATTTATCGATTTTTTAAGCTTTTTTACTCAAGAAATTAAATTTAGGACTTAATCGTTATTTTTTCCAAAATAATAAGATTTTTCTAAGACAAAACTGCACAAATGGTCCTTATGGTTAGCTAAAAATTACCACTTTTGTCCAAAAAAATTTGAACTAGCACCAGAGGTCCAAACTTTTTATTTTGTTGTTAGTTTGATCTTGTTTTCTATTAACTTTTTCATAATGATTATTTTGCTCTTTTTTTTTTTTTTCTTTTTCAGTTTTTTTATTATTTAAATACTTTATTTGATTAAAAGAAAAAATAAAAAAGAAAATTTGCATTTTCTATTTTATTTTTATAATAAAATAAAATAAATAAAAATGAAAAATCTCTCTCATTTCACATCCAAACACAAACACACACAAATTCTTAATCTCTCTCTCTCTCTCTCTAAACCAACAACCAACTTTTGTGATGCCTCTTTTTTTTTTATTCAAACACATCAACAAAAATCTCATTATTCAATTGAAAAACTACCAGAAATCGCCTCTTTTTCAAGACCTGCAAACCAAGCAATAACTTCTCCCCAAGTTTTCCAACTATTCCCCTGATCGACCTCTCTAAATCTGAATTAAAATAGCTCCTCGTTAAAGCCTGTCAAGATTTTGGATTCTTCAAGGTCGTCAATCATGGTGTTCCAATGAAATTTATCAGTAAACTCGAATCATAAGCCATTAATTTCTTCTCTTATTTTCTTTCTGTCAAACAAAAAGCACGCCAAAATCGACCCAATCATAAAAATCCTACTCTCTGCATTTTTAAAGAACACTCAGATCTGAGAAAGGGAGTTGGCGACATAGATCTGAGAAAGGGACGACGTAGATCTGAAAAAGGGTGGCGTATAAAAACCCCCCATCAACACGAGGATTGAAAGGCCTTTACAGCTTGACATGGTGGCGTTAGGTTTTCATCGTCTCCTTCCACCAATGGCATGGCGAGGAAGAGTAAGATATATGGTTGCTTCCGGTGAGAGTGTAGTTAATCGCCGACGATTGAAATCTCGAATACCCAAATGAAACAAAGAAAGAACAGGGATATGGGAACCAGTAATTGGAGTCTAAACGAGAGATGGGTTGCTGAATCTAAACCAAAGACGAGGCTATTTCATTTCCATGATTGATTGCTTCAATCAAAGATGGATACGAATGTGTGTATTTGTTTGTGTATTTGACAGGTGCAGCTTCAGTTGGAATTTCCACCTTTGTGGGATTACCAAAATGGGATTTAGGTTTATTATATTTCGTTATCATCTGGTCCGTCTGCTTTGACTTAGCCACCTATACTTTGGGTTGGGTCTGATGAT